GGGATGTTGATAAAAATGATGGAGCTGTTAAGGAAAAACCTTGGAGTCTGGGAATGAATACAGCCGAGGCAAATGATGTTGCTTCTAGTGGCTGGGACACAGCAACTGCCAGGATGACAAATAACTCCTGGAATTTAGAGAATAATGTAGCTCAGTCCAATTCCTTTTCTGGTTGGGCAACAAAAAAACACGAACCCCACAATGGCTTTGTAACAAAAGTTCAAGAAGAACCTACCACGTCCAATGATTGGGATGCTGGTGCTGCCTGGGGGAGAAAGGACAGAGACAACAAGTTTGCTGAGACAAATACAACAAAGTCTTGGTGGGGGAAGGTAACAGATGGTGATGAATCTGGACAAAACAAAAGCAAAAACAAACGTCCAGAAGACCAAGATGTAGGAACACATGGTTGGGTCGATAAGATGTCTCAGGACCAGTTGATATCTGGTTGGGCTTCTAAAACTACCCGGGAGGCTACCACTGAATCCCTCAGTTGGGATAGCAAGGGCAATTCAAATCCGGGAGATGCAGCATGTGGTTGGAAGGCAGCATCCACTTGGGGGGCAGAAAATACTGCTGGTGATAAACTTTGGGGTAAAGAGGTGTCTTCTAATCAGGCAGACACAGCCTCTGGTTGGGGGAAACCTAAGTCACCAGAAATTTCACTAGGCTGGGGCTCACCCAAAGAGTCAGTTAAGTCAGTTCGTGGATGGGGGGCGTCAAGTTCTGGAGGTGGCAGGGATAAGAAGACTGAAAACCAATCTCTGGCTGGCCAAGGGAAAGAGGCAGGGGGTTGGGGTAACAAGTTGACTTCGAATCAGGCAGACACAGGCAGTGGTTGGGGGAAACCAAAGTCATCAGAAAATTCACAAGGCTGGGGCTTGTCCAAAGAGTCTGGTAAGGAAGTTCATGGATGGGGGGTTCCAAATTCTGCGGGTGGAAACAGAAGTGGAACAAATAACACTAACAAAAACGGGATGGGGGGTTCCAAATTCTGCGGGTGGCAACAGAAGTGAAACAAATAACACTAATGAAAACGAAAACGAAAACCAATCTCTGGTGGAGCAAGGGAAAGAATCAGGTTGGGATAACAAGGCATCTTCAAATCAAGAAGCCATGGCCTCTGGTTGGGGGAAACCAAAGTCACCAGCACTTTCAGAAGGCTGGGGCTCACCCAGAGAGCCAGTTAAGGCAGTTCATGGATGGGGGGTGCCACATTCTGGAGGTGGCAATGGTAGTGGAAGGGATCAGCAATGGGGTCAGCAGAGTAGAGAGTTCAAGAAAGACCGCTTTGAAGGTTCTCGAGGTTGGGGATTGAATAATGGAGATTGGAAAAATAAGAGGAACCGCCCTTCTAAACTGCAGGAGGATTTAAATGCCAGTTCAATATTTACCACAACCAGGCAGCGGTTAGATCTATTCACTACTCAAGAGCAGGATATCCTCTCTGATATTGAGCCATTGATGCTTTCTATTAGAAGAATAATGCATCAAACTGGGTATGTTTTCTATGCTATTTGCTCATAAATTCTCCAAAAATAAGAGCTAGTAATTACCTAGAGCATCATAGCACAGTGTATTTTTTATTGACTAGTCCCTTTTGATTCTTCATAGATTTGCAGCATTTATACCATTTTCTGCATGCTACCATTTTGTAAATTTTCTTATTATGGAATTTTTTTTGAAGGTACAATGATGGGGATCCATTATCTGCCGATGATCAGTCTTATGTGCTTGATAATGTCTTTCATTATCATCCAGACAAAGCAGTGAAGATAGGTGCTGGAATTGATCATGTTACGGTATGTATTCTGGGTGACCTATTCCCTTGTTAGATTTTGCTTCAGTTCAGTTGTTATCTATCCTCATGCTACACTAAGTTTAGGATTCTGTAGCCCTATGTCTTTTGGATAAACATGTGGTTATTTTGTCATCTAAAAACAATAACATTGTAGTTGATGCCAAGGGATTTATCTTTTGAGGCTCATATTATCTGTTATCTCAAGTAGAACTTCAATCTGTTAGAGCTTTGCAAAGAAAGTTCCTCTTCTGAATTGATAGAATGAGCTCAAGTTAGTTCTTTTTTCTTTTTATTTTTCTGTGCATCAATTATGGGTATGCTTTCTTCCTTCACAACATTGATTGCATCCAGGACACAATCAGAGGACCAAAGAAAACTTGATTAGAGGTTACTGATTTGGTTACATGTCTCTTGTTATCTATTTATGAACTATTTGTCTTCACTCTTACATCACTACCACTCTCATTACTTAGCGTTACTTAATAAGATGGTTGCAAGGTCTATTAAAGTCCAATCTCTTTCATTCTCAAAATAAAATAAAATAAAATAAAATCCAATTTTATTACTTGCTTGCCCGCACTACAAGTTCTTTGCCATTTGATGAATTGTAATGGTGTAACTGCTTTCATAATTACAACATTTCATTGTCCTTGTGAATAACTGTAATTCTACGCCAGTACATAATGTGGCTCATATACTTTCTATGATAAGGCTTTTAGGTAGGAAGTCAGTTCTCTATCAGATGTCCTCTGATATCAAGGGACATGGCTATATTCTAGAATGGATGATCAATTTGACCAGCTGAACTAAGTGAATTTTCTTGTTGGTGTTTGTAAATGACCCGTCATTCAGCGTGTTGGGATTTTTCCTGCTTGAACTTGTGTTCTAGTTTGACTTGAATAGTTTGCAAGGATGTATAGAAATCCGGATCAGTTTTCTACATCAATTTGCGGTTGAGGGGCAAGAGATGGTCAGATGTTTGGTAGTGTTTGAGCCAACACTTGTGAATGATATGCCCTCTGGTTCTTCACAGGCCACTTGGCTGTCATTTTTCTGTGGACCAACCTTGCTCTTCACTCTTTTATTTCTTCGGAGAAAGATCCTCTCCACTTGCATCTGTTGCTTTAACAAAAAAATTGAAAATGCACAGTGCATATAGCAAGATGCATCCTTTTACATCTGTGCATAATCTGCGTTTTATGTGCATTATATGATTACAAAATATCTTTTTTAAATCTAACAGGTTAGCAGGCACAGCAATTTCCAGGAGAGCAGGTGCTTCTACATTGTCTCAACTGATGGCTGCAAACAAGATTTTTCATACCGCAAATGCCTGGAGAATTTTATCAAGGGAAAATATCCAGACTTGGCTGATGAATTCATTGCAAAGTATTTTGCAAGAAGAGGCAATCGGCAGCGCACCCCAGCTCCTGAGGGAACCGAGGAGGAGAAACAGGCCCTGTGATGTCTGATGATGAGGGTTGTATAAACATATCGAGTTATCAGCTCCTTTGATTTGTACATATAAAGCATGTCTTTCTGGTATACTTTCCTTGAATCAAATTGTAGTTAAAGGCATGCTTTCTTGTGAACTGCCCCTTTTTTCTCCTACAGGCAGTTCTTGTAAGTAAGCAAGTGATATGAATGACAATGCTTTCAAAATTTGCACCAAAGTTGAGAAAAAAAGGTATATTTCGAGCTAAAAACAATTTAAAAATTCAAGAGATTGTGTCAGGTTAAATCATATCTTAGAATTAAATATGAAAGCGAAACTCTTAAGATCACATCTATTTCTGAAAATGCAACCATTTCTTTTGTAAAGAAAACAGTTTAGGCACCAAGGATTTTTAAACATTCGAATTCCATAAACACTTCATAAGTAAACTGAAAAATACTAATATTATTGGTTGTTAAATCTGGTTCGACCTGGAGTATGGGTTGATACGGGAGTGTTTAAGAGTAGTATTTTTTTTAATGTGTGAATATATTAAATTGATTTAAACGTATTTTTAGTATAGTTTGAATTAATACTGAGGGAAAAAAAATTCGAAAGGAAAAGAAAATGAAATGATGTTTTAATAAAAATAGTTGCTAATCCGCAGGGTGATTCGATAACCTAAATATTTTGATTATGTTAAGGAAAGTATTCTGATTTATCTTTTCTTGTGATTTTCTGTATCAAGAAATCATATGACTTGAAAACTCTTATTACAAGGCAGTTCTTTTATTAACATTTTCTTAATATTGTTCTCTCAAATCTAATTTGATTTATCATTAAAATAGTTTTAATCAATATTTATAGTATATTCATGTATGAAAGATAAATAACTAGCCTTTTTTTAATTAAAAAAAGATGAACTCGAAAAAGAACTTAGGTAATTAAGTAATCGAGTCAACTCACGAGCTATAAAATTAATTATTTTTATTAAACTAATATAGTTTTTTTCTCTCTTGTTTTTTTTTTTAAATTATTAATTATTTTTATTAAAATAATATAGTTTCTCTCTCTCTCTTTTTTTTGTCAAAAAAATTGTATTTTAACTTGTTTGAATTTAAATAGAGTATGAGCAAGTAAACCGAGTTACTAATAACTTGATCGGTCAAGCATAATTCAATATATTAATATTTTAGAAATTTGATCCAATCAAACTTTAGATTTCAAATTCAGGTCTGAGCTCACTAGATGGGATTGAGTTTAATATTTGTTGGAAAAATATCTTTCCCATAATGCATTCTGTTGATGTTCATGAGCACAGGAAAGAAAGAATTTTAGAATTTTTCTGGATTTCGACTGTCCACTTTGCCTTTTTTGACCGGTGGTCGAGCATGGACTCCATGGCTTGCCCTTACAAAATTTGAAAGAAGGATACAGAGAGTCTTTTTTTTCAATGACATGACTGTTCCTCTAGATTGGAAAATCTAAGATTTGCCCGTCAATACACGGAAAAAAAGAGAGTTAAGAGTCTCAAAAAAAATCTTTGATAGTCATGCACATTGTTTTCAAACGTTGCTTGGTCAGAGAAAAAGAAAAAAAACTCAAGCTCAAAACCATAAATTTTCTCCACTCAAGAACAAAAAAGTAGTTTTGATATCGTAATCCAAAGTAATGTGTACGTTGAGCTACAGTAAAACACAAATGTGTTTTTATATATATATATATCACCTAATTGGAAGAGTTCTCAAGCACACCACTCCATACTTCAGCTATAACAAGGTATATGCTACGGGGTTCAATGAGTTCAATGCCTGTTAACATTCTTCTCCTTTCCTTGCTCCTTGTAGTAAGTGTTAGTCTTTGCTTCAGCTATGGAAGCTTTACTCAGGGTTGCAGCCAGATTGAGAGAGATGCCCTTTTAAAGTTCAAGCATGATCTCAAAGATCCTTCAAACCGTCTTGCTTCTTGGGCTGGTTTTGGAGGTGATTGTTGCGCTTGGCGTGGAGTCATTTGTGACAATGTAACTGGCCATGTCATTGAGCTCCGTCTAAGAAGTATTTCTTTCGAAGACTATCTTGCTTCTTCTAGTGGTGCTTCCACTCAATATGAAGATTATCTGAAGTTAATCTTGAGTGGTAGGATCAATCCTTCATTGGTCAGCTTGAAGCATTTGAGGTACTTAGACCTACGGAACAATGACTTTGGAGGAGCTCAAATTCCCAAATTCATTGGCTTGATAGGGAGCTTGAAACACCTTGACCTTTCTGATGCTGGGTTTGCAGGTATGATTCCTCACGAACTAGGAAATCTCTCAGATCTTCACTACCTTAATCTCCATGATTATTATTCCCAGTTCAACGTTGAGAATTTAAATTGGCTCTCTCAACTTTCTTCACTAGAATTTCTTGATTTAAGTCTTGTGCATCTTGGTAACGTTTTTAATTGGTTAGAGGTGATAAACACACTCCCTTCTTTGGTAGAATTACGTTTGTCATATTGCCAACTTCCTCCCGTTCCCCCAATTCTCTACGTTAACTTTTCATCCCTTTCTATTCTTGATTTGTCATCCAACTATGTTGATGAATCTGCAATTTCCATGCTAAACTTTCCTAGATGGGTTTCTCATCTTAAAACTCTTCTTTCTCTTAACCTGGCAAATAATAATTTTCAAGGTCCAATCCCGAATGTTCTTCAAAACTCGACGTTACTTAAGGCACTTGATTTATCTATCAATCACTTCAGTTCTTCTATACCCGAATGGTTGTATGGTTTCAACCAGCTTAAGCTCCTCAATCTTCGATCCAACAACTTGCAGGGTGTTGTTTCAAGTGCCATCGGAAACATGACCTCCTTGATTAGCCTTGACTTGTCATTAAATCATGAGCTCAAATTCGAAGGAGGAATTCCGGGATCATTCAAAAAACTTTGCAATTTGAGGACACTGTCCTTGTCAAACGTTAAACTGAACCAAGATATGGCTGAGGTCCTTGAAGTGCTGTTAGGATGTGTTTCGGAAGAGGTTGAGTCATTAGACTTGTCTGGTTGTCTATTATTTGGTCAGTTGACCAACCATCTTGGGAAATTTAGGAATCTAGCTTACCTTGGTCTAAGGTCTAATTCAATTTTAGGTCCAATTCCAATGGCTTTAGGAGAATTAGTGTCCTTAAGAAGTCTTCACCTCTCCGATAATAAGTTGAATGGAACTCTTCCAAAATCTTTTGGGGAGCTTACGAAGTTGGAAGAGATGGATATTTCTCATAATTCATTTCAGGGTGAAGTTTCTGAAGTTCACTTTGCAAACCTCAAAAAATTGAGAAACTTTTCTGCTGCCGGAAACCAGCTGAATTTGAGAGTAAGTCCTGATTGGATTCCTCCTCAACTTGTGTTCATTGATTTGAGATCTTGGAATGTTGGGCCTCAATTCCCCAAGTGGGTTCGTCCACTTGAGCATTTGTCCTATTTGGATATCTTTAACTCGAGTATTTCAAGTACTATTCCTATTTGGTTCTGGACCATGTCATTTCGAATGGAGTATTTAAATCTCTCCCACAATCAAATCCAAGGAGTGATTCCCAGTAAACTCAAGCTTGATTTTACAGCTTCCTACCCTTTAGTCGACTTGAGCTCGAATCATTTCAAGGGTCCATTACCAAGTATATTCTCTAATGTGGGTGCATTAGATCTCTCCAACAATTCATTTTCAGGTTCCATGCTCAACTTCTTATGCCATAAGATAGATGAGTTGAAGAATGTGCAAGTTCTTAACCTCGGAGAGAATCTTTTATCTGGAGAGATACCAGATTGTTGGTCGAGCTGGCAATATTTGGTGGCGATAAAATTGAGCAACAACAAATTCAGTGGCAACATTCCTGATTCCGTAGGAGCTTTGAGCTTGCTTGAGTCATTGCACATTCGCAACAGCAGCCTATCAGGTAAACTACCAATTTCGTTGAAAAATTGTACGAAGTTGATCACACTTGATGTTGCTGAAAGTGAATTAGTCGGAAGCATGCCAGCGTGGATTGGAAAGAGGTTCTCAAGCATGGTTGTCCTCAACATGCGAGCAAACAAGTTTCGTGGCCGCATACCGAGAGAGCTATGCAATCTAGCTTCTTTACAAATCCTGGACCTTGCTCATAATCGCCTCTCGTGGAGTATACCAACTTGTTTCAATAAACTCAGTGCCATGGCTACAAGAAACGATTCTCTTGGAAAGATTTATTTGGACAGTGGATCGTCTACCTTTGACAATGTGCTTCTTGTGATGAAAGGAAAAGTTGTCGAGTACAGCACTATTCTTAAATTCGTAAGGAGCATAGACCTTTCCAGCAATGCTTTATGTGGGGAGATTCCTGAGGAAGTTACTCGTCTCGGTGAATTACAATCTTTGAATCTATCACAAAATTCTTTGACAGGAAGAATTCCTGAAGGCATAGGTTCCATTCGATATTTGGAATCCATGGATTTTTCTGTAAACCAACTTTCTGGCGAAATCCCTCAAAGCATGTCAGATCTGACCTTTCTAAGCCATTTGAACTTATCCGATAATAGACTACGGGGAAGAATTCCTTCAGGTACTCAATTACAAAGCTTTGGTCCATCTAGTTTCAGTGGCAACGAGCTCTGTGGACCTCCACTCTCCAAGAATTGCAGCGTGGATAACAAGTTTCATGTTGAGCATGAAAGGGAAGAGGATGGCAATGGACTCAAGGGTAGGTGGTTCTATGTGAGCATGGTACTAGGTTTCATTGTGGGATTCTGGGGTGTAGTCGGTCCTTTAATGTTTAATAGACGGTGGAGATACGTATATTATCATTTCTTGGACAGATTGAGAGACCAAATTTGGTGGCGTTTCATGTAATAAATAACATATACGTATATATGTATGTATCAACAAGTGTTTGTAGCGTAGACTAAGTATGCGTGTGTTTTACCATTTCATGTATTATCTAGATCATAAATCTTTTGTAATTTTGTAAGCTTTTATTTTACATCATAAAAGTTTAAGTCGAACGTGGTTTTTTTACCTCTATATTAATTAGAGGGTTTTCCACGTAAATAAATAAATGGTGTTTTTATTTCACTATTATTAGAATATGTTGATGGTGAATTTGATTATTGTGGCTAGCTTGAAAATTCAGAAAATTGTGTAGTTGAATATCATCATCTCTTGAAAATAAGCAAATTATGGTAAAAGAGATTAATTTGAAGAAATAGGGTTGGATTAATTGTTTACAGTGTGCTGTTACTTTGTGTTCATCCCTATTTGTTCACAGATAGAATTCTATCTGTTCTTGGAAAGGACCAGGTTGGTCTCCTATTTCTTTTCTACCTTGTATCCGCACACCATTCATCGGCGCACCTCCTTCGTTGCGTGCACAGATTTTGTATGCTACTATGAGCACCGTAAATCAATGACTAGCGTCAATCCTTGAGCCAAGGTGTTTTTTTAATTTATTTATTTTTTGTTAATTGAGTGGAGGTCGACGGCTTTTGATTCAAAACCATGGAAATAAAACTCTGCTTTACGCCCAAATCGACAAAGATTCAGTCATTTCCTTTATTATGGAATCGCTCCAAAACAGTATAAATGTGAGGATCACCAAACAAATCCTCTTATTTTCCTATGGTTTCACTTCAAAGAGTTCTCGATGTCGATCACAATCGATACTTGACATCTCCCTTCAACATCCTCTCAAAGGCTTCATAAGCGTATTCAATTGGCATCACTTCGATCTCCGGATATATTTTGTTGGCAGCACAGAAATCCGACATTTCTTGTGTCAATTTCGTCCCTCCAGTGAAACTTCCAGTAATCAATCTCATACCTGGCACAATTCAATGCAAGCATCAATCAGTAATATGTATAGTTTTCACAATCTTTAAAAATGAAAAACGATGTGCTGATGTTATAATATACCTGTAAAAAGGCTCAGGGGATCGAGTTTTACTTCTTTTGGATAGCAAACCATGACGAACAGGCCATTAGTCTGCAGGAGGGACATGTATGGATCAAATGGATGGTCTCCTGATGCTGAGTCAATTATGAAGTTCAAAGTTCTAGACAAGGTCCGCAGGCCAAAAAAAATTATTGGTTACTAATAATCAACATGGAATTGGAAGTTTGGAACCTTAATAGTAAGTGATCTCAAAGATTTTTAACAAGGTGTTCTACCTTCATTTCTTCCTCATCAGTTGAGACAACAAATTTGTCTGCTCCAAGGACATTCAAGGCTTCCTCTTTCTTGGATATACTTGTACTGAAATCCACTCCAAAAGCTTTGCCAAAATCCACTGCCATGTGACCAAGGCCTCCAAGCCCTATCACCCCTGGAGATTTACCAGGTTGGTTCATCTTGTAGTGGATCATGGGAGTGTAAACAGTAATTCCTGAACAAAGTAAAGGTGCTGCTAGAGCTAATGGGTAGTTTTCAGGTATCTTGTAGCAGTACCTGTTCAAGAAAGTATCAGTCAGCAGGGAAGGATCACAAGGTTGACAGATAAAAAAAAAAAAGGTACTAGTATTTTTGACAAGCTCGTAACCTTTCAATAACAACAATGAAACTAGATCCTCCCTTTGTGATTGTACCATCTACATCCACAGCATTAATTATGGGAACCATTCCATTTGGGCACTGCACTTCTAGTCCTTCATTACATTCATCACAATTTCTGCATGAATTAATATATGTTTCCACTCCAACAGGGTCACCAATTTTGAACCGCTGGACATTGGAGCCTACTTCTTGCAAGATTCCAGCAATCTCATGACTGTAAGATGCAAAAACCCATGAAGAAATAAACAATACTGAAAAAAACAAAGTGACTGTTTGGTCATTAAACCTCTAATATCTTATCAAAGAACAATATCAAAGTAAATTCTTAAACTGGTAGGTGAGAACTAAAATTTATAGTGAAATGCATACCTTGGAACTACAGGATATTTTGAGTCTTCATGTTTGTTCCTGGTATAAATTACGTCACCATAACATGTTCCACAGTATGTAATCTTCACTGAAATGTCATCAGCACTGATTGCCCTGCATAAATTTCCTTAAAATTAATTCTTTACACCAGCCTTTCAGAGTACAAGTTCAAGAAATGAGTTAGTTCCAGTTATCATGGGTGGATATTCGTTATCTTCGCTTAAAATGGTAAGGTGACAGAACTCCAGAGGCATCGCTTGCTTCCCACCCAAGGCAGTCCTTTCCCTCTTGAAAGGAGCTCATTTAAATAATTATGATCTGCTCCGCAATAAATTAATCAAGAAGATTAAGGAGACTGGTAACTAATTACCGAAAGTCAAATAGATATGTGGTACTATTAGCTAGCCCTTGAATCAATTTGCAATACGCAATATTAGCATGTTAAATCAACAAGGTTAAGGGGCTAATCTCGTCCCCGGAACACGAAGGAAAAACATTTGACACTAGATCAACAGAATTAAAGAGGGTGTAAGCATATGGTTTTGGTTGCATGAATAAGTTGCAAAGCACAGTTCACATGATCAATCAAATACATCATGATACATGAAAATTCAAGGGCAAAAGAATCCTGAACAACCAAGAAAAGCACAAGCTATACTCTGCAAAATGAAAAGAAAAGAAAAGGGTGGGAAAGACAGGAAATAAAGCTTGCCTGAGAATGGCTTGGGATATCAGTGGTTAAGGTAGCTGAAGATGTGGGTGGTGTGTATGTGTGCAAGAGCAACGTGATTTCTTTAGTTTATACAGCCATCCAGCACTCTATTTAGAGGAAGGAGCGTGTCAAAGTATAGAATCCAAAACTCCTCTGTTAAAAAATAGCGGCCAATTCCTTGACTGATGTCTACAGAAAGGAGAAGGAGAGCAAACTCTTACAAACAGGGTGACCTACGTAACTCAGAAATGACACATTGTCTGGTCTGAAGGGGGCTTGCATAGGTGGTGACATATAATGGGTGATAAACTGTACAAATGTGACGACTGCGGCGACAGTAGAATTGCATGAGACTGGACTTGGCCCATCTCTAAAGGCGGCGTTGTCTTGGCTTCGAAGCTAAATACCACGGTCTAGCAGCATGCCAGCATCGTTAGTTCTTTACTCATGTTTTTGGCTGCTCAGTTGGCGAGGCTAAGATGGCCAGGACACTGTCATGGATTCAATTCTAATGAGGCCATTTTTCATAAAGCTAGGAGCTCAGCATGATGTACCTTCCTTTTTTTTTAACAACATATAATCTTTTGCCAATTTATTAATTGATACTAAATCTTATTTTTAAGCGCCTTTAAAGACATATTCATAGAAATTTAATTATTTTTTCTAGACGTTGATCTCAAGATTTAAACCTAGAAATTAAAAATTCTTTGGCAAGTTTGTGCACTAATCGATACAAAATCTTATTTTCGGGTGATTTTAAAGATGCATCGTTTATATTATATTTAGAGAAATTTAATAAATTTTTTTAGATATTGATCTCAAGATTTAACCTTAAATTTTTTTTAAAAAAAAAAAACAAGAAGAAGAAGAGAGTATAGATCCATAAATATCATACCAATTTCTTGAAGTTATCGTGTACTTTATTAATTAATTAAAAAAATTAAAAACAATTGATACTTTTATTATGAGTAACCTCACAAAATACTATTCATTGTTATAGTATTTTTTATTTTGTTTTAGTTTAATTTTTTTTTTAATTTCATCTTTTTATATTTTATTTATTAGATATAATTTATTTTTTATATAGTTATCTCAATTTTGTTATTCATGTTACAGGATTAAAGAGTTAACCTGATTGATTTGTTTTTTTTAATAGACATTAATTTTAATTTTATCATTCAATATTAGACTTATTAAAAATTAAACTTTATGATTTATTCGGACTTGTTTACTATGAGGTTATCTCGATTTTATGATCGGGTCATGAATTTTGCAAGCTAGCCTAAGTACACTTAGATGGTTTATAGTGTCCTTTATTAAGATTGATTTTTTATTTTTTGAATTTTATCCTTTAATAATGGATTGATTGAAAATTGATTATCATAATAGGTTTTTTTTTTGCATTTTTTTAATACATGTTTTTTTTTTAATTTCATCATTTTATATTTGGTTTATTGGAGATTGAATTTCATGATATGTTTTGTGGGTTTTGTGAGTTAACTCGGTTGACTCAAGTTTTTTTCTAATATATATTTTTCTAATTTTATTATTCAATATTAAGTTTATTTGAAATTAGATTTCATGATTTATTTTGGTTTACTTTCTATGAGGTTATCTCGATCTCATAACTTGAGGCACAAGTTTTGTTGTTAGGTATACTCGGATCGTTTTACTAAGTTCTTTATTTAGATTGATTTTTTTTTTAATTTCATCCTTTATTAATGGATTGATTGAGAATTAAGCCTCATATAATTTATTTAAATTTTTTTTCTATGAGGTTATCTTAGTCTCATGACCCGAGTTGATTCAAGTTATTTTTTTGGTCTACATTCTATGAGGTTATTCTAATCTTATAATTAAAGTCATGAGTTTGGCGGGTTAACCCGGGTTGACTAGAGTTGCTTTTTGTGTTTTTTTTTTAAATTTTATCCTTTAGTATTGAGTTGATTGAAAATTAGGTTTCATAATTTATTTTAATTTACTTCTCATAGGGCTATTATATGTCAATATTGTTTGATTAAAAATTAAACTTTATAATTTGTTTTATTTACTTTATATGAAGTTATTATGGTCTTATGACTTAGATCGTGGATTTGACAAATTAATTTTGGACTATTCAATGTGTTATCATATCAATATTTAAAAAAAAATGTTATCTTGAATTTTGTTTAAGTCAACTATGTTTTTATCAATAATCCAGATTGTTTTTGAACTTTCTATGTAGACTAGATCACATTAAGTCAACTGTATATTATTTAAAATTTATTTTTTATTAAAAAACATTAATAATATCAAATTTTATCTTTTTATATTTTATTTATTAGATATAATTTATTTTTTATATAGTTATCTCAGTTTTGTTATTCATGTTACAGGTTTAAAGAGTTAACCTGATTGACTCAATTTTTTTTAATAGACATTAATTTTAATTTTATCATTCAATATTAGGCTTATTAAAAATTAAACTTTATAATTTATTCGGACTTGTTTACTATGAGGTTATTTCGATTTTATGGCTGGGTCATGAATTTTACAAGTTAGTCTAAGTAGACTCAGATGGTTTATAGTGTCCTTTATTAAGATTGATTTTTTATTTTTTGAATTTTATCCTTTAATAATGGATTGATTGAAAATTGAGTATTATAATAGGTTTTTTTTGTATTTTTTTAATACATGTTTTTTTTTAATTTCATCATTTTATATTTGGTTTATTGGAGATTGAATTTCATGATATGTTTTGTGAATTTTGTGAGTTAACTCAGTTGACTCAAGTTTTTTTTTAATATATATTTTTCTAATTTTATTGTTCAATATTAAGTTTATTTGAAATTAGATTTCCTGATTTATTTTGGTTTACTTTCTGTGAGATTATCTCGATCTCATAACTTGAGGCACAAGTTTTTTTATTGGGTATACTCGGATCGTTTTACTAAGTTTTTTATTTAGATTTTTTTTTTAATTTCATCCTTTTTTAATGGATTGATTGAGAATTAAGCCTCATATAATTTGTTTAAAATTTTTTTCTATAAAATTATCTTAGTCTCATGATCCGAGTTGATTCAAGTTATTTTTTTAGTCTACATTCTATGAGATTATCCTAATCTTATAATTAAATTCATGAGTTTGGCGGGTTAACCCGGGTTGACTAGAGTCGCTTTTTGTGTTTTTTTAAAAAAAAATTATCCTTTAGTATTGAGTTGATTGAAAATTAGGTTTCATAATTTATTTTAATTTACTTCCCATAGGGCTATTATATGTCAACATGGTTTGATTAAAAATTAAACTTTATAATTTGTTTTATTTACTTTATATGAGGTTATTATGATCTTATAACTTAGATCGTGGATTTGACAAATTAATTTTGGACTATTCAATGTGTTATCATATCAATATTTAAAAAAAAATGTTATCTTGAATTTTGTTTAAGTTAAAAAACAAGCACAAGAAAGTTTGGAAAGTGTTTTCCCAGATAATCCAGATTGTTTTTGAACTTTCTAAGTAGACTAGATCACATTAAGTTAACCTCATATTATTTAAAAGTTATTTTTTATTAAAAAAAATTAATAATATCTAAATATTTTTTTATACTAAAAAAATTCAAAATATCTAGTAGCCTAAAGCGAGCCAGTGATGTTATCAATCACTAAACCCCCCTAGCATTTTCTAGGTCTTGCAATGCATTTTGAGAATAAGTTCTTTTTATTCTATAGAAAACAAACATCACCTATGTTATATTTTTCAAAACAACTTAATTAAGATTTCTAAACATCAAACGAAATCAATTCAAAACTATACATGATTGTATTTCATAATTAAGTAATCAATTAAAGTATGATTAAATATAGGTACATGTATATTCTCGATGCATGTGAAAAATCTTTGGCTTTGATTTTCTTTGGTAACACCAAAATTTAGCATAAATATACCAATAAAATGAAATATCCTTTTCCCCAATTTTTTTTCGACTGTCTCATTTTATGGTCCACACACTTTGTTGGGCCCTTCTTGTGGATCTGAACTAGGGTCCATTGTTTGAGGGTGCCTGATTGCCATAGTAGTCCATTGGAACCCTTGATCTGGGCTCAAAGGGCTTCAATTATTCGCGGAAGATGATGGGACAACTTTGAACTCCTCTTTTGTTATTCCACTGCAATTCCTCTACCGCAATCATCCATGTGTATGCACTGCATACAAAGCTGTTTTTCAAATTATTGCCGGTCTTTTGTGGCATGCGGTATCCTGGCCCATGGTTGACCTGGTCTAGAGAGCTGGGTGAGGAAGTCCGCATGATGATGCAGGTTACTTAATACCGTGACTCTGTCCTTTTTCTTGGAAGGAAAAGGATTTTTCTTTAGTTTCTGTGGCTTGTACTCCACCATCCAGGAAGACACTCATCTTTTCATTAATGCAAGTCCAAGGCGGCGGCTATGCATCCAATCTCTAGTCTCGCTGAACTTTCGCACAACGAGACGGGAGACAAGAGAACTTGTTGGTGGAAACAGAGATAAACGAAGCAAAACCTGCTTGCAGTTTCAGATGAATCGAATCCTTGAAACCATGTTCTACAAATGCCATGTGGGAATATTTTTTC